CCACCCCCACACACACACACAGTGACACACACACCCCAGTACTATTTCGGGTGACATAATGGAGATGCAAGGGCAGACTTGAAACCTTGAACCCTCTTTATAGCTCTCCAGCTTTTCAGAGATGGGGAAAAGATTACTTGGCACATCTCAAGTGTTGCACATATGAAATGACCATGAAAATCATTGTCACCTCAGGTGAGTTGTGCTATTTCAAGTACCCTAGAATGAACATTATATGTCTCTTACATCTCTTAATACAGAGGGTAGGTGTCAGATGGGATCAATTCTGTGATGCGTTGCGTGCTTAAGCAGTGTGAAAGGTCATAACCTTGTTGCCAGACTACTTAAGATATCTAACTCTTTACCGACTACCCATTGTCCAGAGGGTTTTGTTGTCTGTCAGAAAAGAATAATTAAGAAGGGTTAGATTTATCGGTAGAAACCTAATATAGAGAACATCAGATTTCTGGGAGTCCAATTAGATAAGGCTAGCCTGGGTGCCATCCTCTGTAGTTTCTGCCCACTCCCTAATGTCGCTGGGTGGTGCCCAGATCAGGATAAGGCCTTTTGAAGATTTTAAACAAAAAGCATGATTCTAAAATTGTTACAGGTTGTGTTGTATGGTGATGACCCATCCAAGATGCCACCTGAAAACATCATCTACCTGTCCAACCACCAATGCACAGGTAAGCATGATGGTGTTATGTCTTACAGTTCATAATGTACAGTTCAAAATGTTCTTTCAGGGACAGTGTGGATTTTGATTGTCACCATGTCTAGTACACCCTGTGTTTTTTCTTCTCCATTTCTGAACCTGCTAGACGTACTCTACCTTTCCCACTTTTTTGTTATCAGTCTACAGATTGTGCTGCAGTAGATTTTAGTCATCTGTGTTCTTCCCCTTTTCCCCTGATCTGTCCTTGCCAGTGGACTGGGCAGTGGCAGACATGTTGGCTGTCAGGCAAGGCATGCTGGGACACGTCCGCTATGTCCTGAAAGACGGTCTGCGCTACCTTCCCCTGTATGGCTGGTACTTCAGACAGGTGGGCACATGGACCAGCTATGACAACAGAAATGAGGACTTTCCTTAAAACTGTCAAAATTCTTGTAACAATACAATGAAATCAAAGTAAGCATAAACTTGAAGATATATATTTCACAAAACTTGAAGATATATATTTCACAAAAAGTTACTGTGATGTCTTCTATAATGGCATATAGTAAGATCTTTTGTAAGGACACACGTTTGTTTTGTTGTCAGCATGGCTGTGTGTATGTGAAGAGAGGAGGGAACAATGAGAAGGCACTTGCCAAACAGATAAAGGATCTCAACAAGACTCTTGTACCAGTAAGTAATATCATTCTTTTTTATTCAAGATCACTCCTTTTTTTCAATGCCTTAAATTAAAAATCATCACTGCAAGTTTATGTAATGCCAATGCTTGTGGAAAACTACATAGGTAATGAATACAACAACTACTTTATGTCTACCCTCTGGTTAGCAAGTGATTAGCAAAAAAACCATGTGCCTTCAATGACTTACATGTTTATATGCATCATGTCACTGTTCATGGGCTTTTATTGTTATTGCAGACCTACATGGTGATATTTCCTGAGGGCACTCGCTATAATCCAGAGAAGAAAAATGCCATACAGAAGAGCCAAGGGTTTGCTTATGTACATGGTACAGAACTCTTTTTGTATTGCACCATAGGGGCATATACCAAGGGCATGTTTACATGATATTTTAAACCAGAGTTAACATTTTTTTGTCTTTTGCACATCTGGTAACAATGGCTGTGTTTGTATGACAGATACAGAACCAATATTCACAGGAGTTTTTCCTTCTTTGACTGTAGAGCTAAACCTGTAGTTGAAAATACTGTAGACTCAAACATCCATACTTCTTTTAGGGTTGGAGATTCTTGAACATGTCTTGACACCGCGGGTAAAAGCAACAGAGCTGTGTTTACGAGCGATTGGGAACAACGTCACTGCTGTATACGACATCACTGTGGCATACAGCACTCCAGACACCCACGGCCGACCACGTGCACCAGACATGGCAGGTTAGTAAACTGGTAACAGCTAGGTTTAATGATGATAAGTTACCTAATTTTATGTATTGAAAGAAAAGCTTTGTCCAGAACCAGATACATGTAAGGTATAAGATAAAAGCTACTGATTCAGATGATAATACAGCTATGTAATGCTTGTCAATTTGCTTTACTGTGACTGTATCTTTAATGAAGTAGATAGAAATCTACTCATTGCTTTCTAAGTTGGTATCTTGCATGCTGAGTATTAAAGACATAAATCAATCAGCTCACCAACCAATCAGCTAACAAATGCCAATGTTCACAGAGCCTGATTCCCTCCATGTATTTTGAAAGGCCCTTAAATCCTAGGCTGTCCTTACATGATGTTACACACTTCTATCTTCTCTGCCAGACTACCTGATGGGCCAGAGCAGACAGATCCATATTCACCTGACAAGAATCCCCCTGCAGGACATCCCACAGGAACAGGGGGCGCTGCAGGACTGGCTGCATGGCAGATTTGTGGAGAAGGACAGGTCAGTTTGGCACGTGTGTCAGTGGGCTTCCCACTAGCATCTTGACTACCAACAAACACCTACAAAATGTATCTATGCCAGCCTTTGTGGAAAAATGGTCAAGAGGTAGATTGTGTGCAAGAACTGTCTGTACTCAAACTCTGAGTGAACATATGTAGAAAGAATTGGGAAGATTTATACTATAGAAAAAGGTTGTTTCCGAGTAAGTGTCAATGCAGTATACATGTACGTGTGGTATATAAATACATGTATTATCTATTGATTGTGTGATCTAATTATTCAACATTCCTTCTCTTTTAGGATGCTCAAAAAGTTCTTCTCTGATGACCCAGAGGACAGGGGTCATTTTGAGGGCAAGGGTCGTGTGTCAAAGCTGCCCCTGTGGAAGACCGTGCCATCCACACTGGTGCTGTGTGCAATAACACTGCCATTCCTGGTCACCAAGGGGGGGAGGGATGCATACTGGAAGAGCTGCTTAGGCTCCATTGCATTTGGATGGCTGTGGATGGCTGTAACTGTGTGATATTGTGTAAAACTGATCAAAGGGGAGTCCTGTAGACCTGATGTATAGATTGTATGTGTGGAAACACACAGTAATGTGTTCTGGGTCCTTAGAGGACTGTACGTTTGGAATTACAATGTAGGTACGTTCACTTTGTTGTGTTGAAACTGTGGCTAGATGCTACACCAGTATGCTGGAGATGACAACCAGGATGATGTATCTGGGTCGTCACTTCGTGATCAAAGTATTAATTATGTACATGTATGTATAGAGAGTACTGTACCTTATAAATTTTAGCCTAACGTTGTTGTAACTACCTTTATGAAATGTTTTGAGAATCTACTCTCCCAGCACACCTCTACATGTACACATGTTGTACCTAATCCTAGCGTCTTGAATAGTTGTGTTATATTTCAAACAATGTTATTGTAATTACTAAATATCCCTTGCCCATCTCTGACATCGCCCATGACTGAGAAGAAAAATGTGGAGATTTCTAAATGGCACAGGCTACAGCAGAGTGCAGTTAGGTATGGTGTACTCTTATACCATAGTTAGTTGTCATCATATATTATTACATGTGCAATCTTTACAATTATCTTCTATGCTTATGAGAACTTGTGCAAATGGACTAATAGATGAAAATAACATGCCTTTCCCAAGGTCACGACTAATACGTTTCACACAAGCTTCTCTACAAAATCATGAATTATAAGATTACTTTAGCTTCACTTTTTAGAAAACTATCCTGTATTTAGTAAAAAAAAATATTTTTGTGCAGCCACTAATGTATATTTTATGTACAGTTTTGGTATCTTTTTTTATTAAAGTGAACTATTGCCATAGTCACAAACTACAGTGTATGTCATAGTAGCACTAGTGTTCATAACTTTAACCATTATGAATTACACAGCAAGAAAGTGTACACAGGCATCTGAAATCTGTAGATAAAGTGACAATGATCTATCTAAAAAAGATAAACACTCAAGTATCCACCTACCAACTGGTACCCCCATTCCCTTTTGGATGGAAATCAGTATTGTAGTTGGAAAAGATGGTTTTCAACTTGTACTTCAATGTTCGAACAGGAACCAATTGTGGATTGTTGGTAATTGTCAGTGATCATGTAGATTGTGTTGCTATAGTAGCATTTATTGATTACACAATATGTGAACCTATGATTAACAATTCACAAGTGATGCTTTAACAGTGATGCTTTAACATTGTGAATCTTTGGCTGGTGCTATCTTGTTGGTTGGTGTTGTCTTACAAGCTTTACCATTGTAATTAAATACCAGCATTTTCCTTGTCACGAAGGAAGTAAGTCATCCATGAAATGTGTGATCATTTTCTATTGTCATTAATAAGTTTGGTCCATCTATAGTACAAGGTTCTCAGTTCAACTTTTTCCTGTAAACCAGACTTTACTTGGTATGACCTGGAGGAGAATATTCCCCCCTCCCCAGAAAACAACAGTTGAGTAGATGGCACTGTAGAAACATCTTTATTATATGATTTTGCTATGACAACATAATATTGCTTGGTCACCACATGATAAAACATCACACTCTCAACAATGCATCATCACTCAATCAGCAAGCTAAGAAAATATTGTGACTAACATGTACAAAAACAATATTTATATCTGTGAGCAGTCTGGCCACTTGGCGACCTTGAAGACCAAAGCTACAGCCAATACACCAAAATGCTGCAAGCTGCATGCTATTATGAATATTTGTTCACACAACTACCACTGAAAGATAAAAAGCAAACTGGCTACCTTTACAAAAACAGTTCCATAATGTAGTACAGATGTAGAAGCAACTGTGGGTCATCTATGCCAAACTGCAACACAAGTTAAACTAAAGCCAAGTCCAAGTGCCCATGTCTGATCTGGAATTTGATCTGCAGTGAGCAGAGTCTGATCTTGAAAAGCATATGTCATTACTTTCACTCTCTCCTAATTAATACATGAAACATTATGTATCGACAAAAAGCAACTAAAGTGCAAAGGTAATACAATGTACTGGCATCACAAAAAAGCTCAGCTGACACAAGTTTTACATGGGCGTGCAAAGGGCACTTTGATCTCTGGTCTGTGACATCACTGCCATGTGCTAACATGGCTGCAAGATTTTTACCTGGCATTACATGCAGCCCTATTGGCAGGCTTTTCATAATCTACATGTAGTGCTAATACTGCACACCTTGATATGTTACATTTACCAAGCAGTTATATGATGTTATGTTCACTTAAGATTTTATTATGTACTGCTGTATATATCCCATTTACCCTCAACCTACCAACATTCTAAGCAATAGAAATTGCTGACGCATGATGCAGTGTAAGGGCTAAGCATTCACTCCTTGACAAGTACAATATAGAACAGGCATTTTCAACAGTTACTGTCCCTTACTGGCCTGGGCTAGCTAGTTGCACATGTAGCTTACCTAGTACAGGAATTGGAATCAGTACATGTACAGTATCACAGCAGCATCACAAGTTCACAACTGATAGCTGGTGTGTTACGCCGAAAGGCGGTTATACCGGCTATACAGATACAGATAGCTTAAATCTGCATATTTTGCTGATGTCATCTTGTAAATTCAGAAATAGATTTTCATTGCCATCAAAGTGGCAGTTTCTACACATTTACCTAAGCAGAATTCTTATTAATGTTTTGATTGGGAAACTCTTTCATATCAATACATGTATGTTGGTCAATGTATGTTTCCTTTATAATATATAATACCAATACAAGTAGGACATAAACATTTTTGTTAAAAGCCTTTAAAGCAGTTTGTATTGTCTGTTTAATTGCACCTGCGCACATGCATGTACTTTCCTTGTTACTTGCTCCTTTCTCCCAGCTGAATGTAGCATGATTGGAGCAATGGTGTGGTCAAGAAACTACCTTCTAGTTTTGTTTCTATGACTAAAAACATTACAATCCTCCCTCCCAACATCCAAGACAGGAAAACCAAAAGCATACTAAATATGTTGCAACAGCACAGTGTACTTTGCATCTTTAAAACGCCTTGCTACAACCATCACCATTCAAGTTTTAGCTCGTTGCTTCCAGCAATTCTCGTAAGTCCTTGGCAACTGGCATGGGAGGACCATCACAGACAGATTTAGCTTACAACTCCAGTTGGTGAGGTCCTACATGTACATTGTAGGTGATGTGAATTGAAGGATTGATAATTCTTCCAGAAGTGACACCTCACTGTCACAGGCTGAGCCCTGGATTGATACAAAATGGTAGACGGCCACTCCTTCGAGTATGTCTTGTCTTATATTGGACATAAAAATGAAACAACTAAAAGAAAAGGTCCTGTCCATTATACCTGGTTTGGTTACATATCAAAGCATTAGTCTGACTCATCAGAAGAGTCTCCAGGAATCTCTTCCCTTGCCATGGCAACATTCGCTACGGAGCTGACCTGCCCCTGCAGCACAGCCTGGAGGACCCCACTGCGGCTTGAGTCTGATCCTCTGCCCAGGCGACTTCTCTGCAACATCCGCACCATCTCTGACATCTCAGCACCTCCTGTGGAGTTGGTATCCCCATCATCATCCTCTTCTTGAGTAGGGGTGTGCTGTCTTAATGAATCTGGAGACTGTCTTGCATTTCCACGTGCTGATTGGTCCGTCACATCTTCACTGGTACTGTCCTCTTCTGCTCTGTTGTTGGTATCTTCATTTGAGTCATCTTCATCATGATCAGCTGGCCCTCGAGTTGACTTTGTAGCTCTACTTGTGACAGCCACAGATCTGCTCCCTCCTGTGGCTCCTTCGTTTGCACCTTCCACTCCATCTGCCGGGGCGTTTCTGGGAGGAGCCGGTGCTGGGAGCCGCACCCCAGCCACTCCTTTCTTGGGCGTGTTTGTTAGGTCACGTTTGATCCGTCGACGTCTGCTTGGATCATTCCGTCTAAACTGCAACATGTTGACAAAGTCAATGATGTACAGGAAACCTGCAATAAGTAGTTCACAAGATTTCTTCTTCTTTGTGTAAGCATCTTCCAGCTCTGCATTAGTACGTTCATCGTACTGCCACCAACCGTTACGTCCCTCATAGAACCAGCAGTACACCTCTTCCTCCTCCTCCCCCTCCTGTTCCTCTGTGACTTTGATGGGCTTGACGAGCTCTGGCCGCTCAAGATACTCAATGGGAATCTCTTGGCGGCAAAGTGCACATCGTTTGCTCTGATTGGCCACACCCTTGACACAAAGGTAGCAGAAGATGTGCGTACACGGCAGGCGCACTGGCTGGACGCAGGTCTGCAGACAAACTGCACACTCAGGGATCATGTCCTCTCCACCTGGCTTCTGACCTGTCAAGAAATTACAAAAAAAGTAAATAACAGCTTTTAACAGTGAAATATTGAGAAAACGTTCTATATCCAATCTCTTTTCATTCCAACCTGCTAAGATTCACCTTACATTGTTGAGATATGGATCCCATAAATTTCTCGCGGAAGAACTGCTGTTATAGAGTAGAGTAGAGTAGAGTTGATTCATGCCGGGTAGGAGTCCTGCTCCAATTTGGGCCGCTCTTCAGTTTACTGACATCTCTGGACGTAGTGGGTGGTCCAAAGCTCTATAATTGTAGACGACTGGATGTGTTTCCATGTACTCGTCAAACCTCTTCTTGAAACTGTTTACACTAGGCGCCATAACTACCTCCCCAGGAAGCTCATTCCAGCAGCTATAGTGTAATGCATAAAATTTATGTGGGGTTTCCCCCAAATGAAACTGTTGTCCCCATCCCATGTAACATGGTACTGGTAGAGACATTCCGCTAGATGTAAGGAATCATACCGTCATGTGTACCTAAAGGTAAACCAAATGGATGATTTATCCGCGACATACATGTACAAAGTCAACAACAGGCTGTGTTCAACAGAGGTGACATGAAGAGGACAGCTACAGCTCGATCTGGTCGCCATTTTGTCCGGCATCTGAAAAGATCAAACAAAATTTTACCTGTCGCAGTTTCCGCCATTTCCTCCTTTTCTCTTCTCTTCTTAGCACTTGATTGCCTCAAAGATGTTTCAGCACTAGCCACGGACCTACTCTCTGCCATATCTTTGAGACATATGTCACGAAATCAGAGAAAATTCAGCATTTTCTCACCTACAACAACCTACTGTAATAGATCATTCACCGGCTTTATCACCCACACATGACCTCTGTCTTCCACCACATAGAGAAAATAGTTCCATATCCTTGACATAGAAAATATGTTCTATATCAATTACCTATAAACTGTTTCCCCATTTTATCAATGAAATATTTTAATCGTGTTAGGTTGAAGTAGTTTGACAGGACAACAATTTGTCAATGTCCATACACGATGGGAGTATTGGCGCGAAACTATAATTATGAGGTCAGCTATCAATGCGCAGTCGGAAACAGGCTGAACCAAATACTGAGAAGGTATACATAAATTTGTAGTTCTAAATTGTAGCACTGTGATATCAATTTCAGAGCCAAAATTTCACAATAAGGATTATAGCAATAAATAACATATCGTTTTATTCCTCATCACTGAAAAATATTTCCATTTTGATTATTTTCTGCCAACGTTTGAAAAAAAATTCATTCCTACAACCCCCTTCTTCCCCAAAATAGTCACTAAAACCAAGTCAAGATGGCGGAATGGGATCTCACGTCCCGCATGGGCCAGTATCTTGACAGACATTTAGTCTTTCCTCTGCTGGAATTCTTGTCTGTGAAAGGGGTAGGTTGGTCCTAAGGCAACATTTGAATGTATAGAATCCTCCTGTAGAAAATTGGGGTAATGCTTTCGCAGTTTGTTGGTAAAACGGGGAACGTTTCGCAACTCGTGGCCGGCGCGGCATATGGCGCCTTCATGCAGATGGGAGGGGGGCATAATTTAGCCATTGCTCAAGTCAGCAATCTAGGTCTTTATCATCAATATGGTCTTAGAAATTACATGTAACGTTACAATACATGTAGCATGTTTAAGCAGAAGATTGTACATTTTTTTGCATCAGATTCAGACTGACACAAAATCAATGCATACTTTGTTTCCAGATCTATGATGAACATGAGCTGTTGAAGGGGAAGTTGGACCTGCTCAGTAACACCAACATGGTGAGGCTTGTCTTTACTTGTTTGACAGGACTTCGTCGCATCGATTTGGATCTTTGAACATTGTATTTCTTGTTAAAAGCTCAGTTTGTATGGTGTGCATTTATATTATATATTATAACCAGTACTGATGTTGTATTTGTGACTGTCAGGTGGACTTTGCCATGGATGTGTGGAAGAGCCTGTATCCTGACCAGGATGTGCCAGACAGTAAGTCTGACTTTTCTTTCAATTTAGAATAAACCTGGTTATAAATCCGATGGAGCAGGCACTGGCTGTTTAGGTTTGTGTTTGTTTAGGGTTTCAGGAGAAGGCTTTGGGGCCCAAAGGTCCTCAAACTCTTAATCTTATGCATGGCTTGAGTGAACTATATCTACACGTACATGTTGGTAACAGGTATGCAGCAGACAAAAAGATAATTGCTGGCAGACCAATTTTTAGCCCTTTATCTAGTAATGAATAGGTATGATAGTGATAGATAGTTATGTACTAGTATATCATAATATAAAGTAGCAGAATCCATGTTGATTTTGTCTTCTTTGGTTCCAGTCCAAAGCCAGCAGCGACCGCTGGGCATGTACCTAGGTACACACAGACCTCTCAGTCAGGTCATATTTCTCAGGGAAAAAACATGCAGACTTTTTATCTTAAGGTTGCCCCAATGAAGTTGTTATTGTATCAAACTTGTGATTGGTTTCACCTTCACTTTTTGATGATGTTCGAGAGTTGCAGTAGAGATTTTTTAGAAATTCATAAACTCAGTTGCAACAATCCTTAGCTGCAATGACTCATTTCATTTCAGAGATATGACCTGACATGTTTTTTTCTTTTTAGTTAATGTTGTTAATAGCTTACTGAGTGTTTGTTATATTTTTAATTTGCCATTATGCCACCTTATTGTTTCTTAGAAGCATCTTTGTTCATTGCTTGCTGGTGGTTTGCTAGCAGCATGACAGGGTTATTTTGACCAGGCTTAGAAGCCAACTAGCTGGCAGTTCTGATACATGAAGTTTCTCCCCTTTGTGTTAACATTGGATCTAGGTTCAAGCTTTTAACTTCTTTAGTTACAGCAAGGTGCTTCTCAAGCATGTTTGCTAAAAATGGTCCATGAAAGTTTTACATTTGATGGTGGAGATTTTCATGGGTTTGAGTGCTGACTCAGCACACAGTAAGAGTATTGTCCATGTGTTCCAGGTCTGGTCCAGAAGCGTCAGGAGGTTGTTGGTCAGCTGAAGTTCCTCCAGGCAGAGTGTGAACCCATCGTCAAGATCTTTGAAGACCCGGAGGTGGCACGACAGATCCAGTCCACAAGGTGGCTGTCTGGTGTTGACTGTAACTTGTCACAACTTTAGGCTGTTGCATTATTGTAGGTACATGTATATGGAAATTTTTCATTTCATCCGTCCCTGTTTTACATGAAACAGTTGTTAACAATTCTTGTCTGTGTTCTTTCAGGGATGGCAGACAACTCTTTGACTACTTGGCAAGAAACCATGGGGTAAGTACATGGTGCAAGGTAGATTTGTTGTTGTAGGATGCCCACAAAAATGCTCTAAATAGAGTTATGTATGAGTATCAGTGTTTAATTTTTGATGAAATGATGTATGCATATTGATACTTTCAAGTTACTGCTCATATGGTTCATTTAAGAAAGTGTCATTCTCTTCCCCACAGTTTGAATCCAAGATGGTGGATACCCTGTATGACTACGCCAAGTTCCAGTACGAGTGTGGTAACTACTCTGGAGCTGCTGAGTACCTGTACTTCCACAGGGTGCTGGTGAGTCTGATGAATAGTTCTCAAGTTTAGCTCGTAACTAGTACATGTGTAGTACCGCCAAGAAACTAGTGTCGTTGTAACCAAATTTCAACCATGTTTTCCTTGGGCGAAGGTAACCATGTACATGTTTGGGAATGTTAGACTTGTGTGCTGTAATGTTTGACTTACCAGCATCCCATGCTTAGAGGCCTACGTTGGGTTGTATTGATGTCTTGGTTTGCTCCAGGTCCCCAGTGATGACAAGAATGCCATGAACTCCCTGTGGGGAAAGCTGGCCTCTGAGATCCTGATGCAGAACTGGGACCCTGCCATGGAGGATCTCAACAGGCTCAAGGATGTCATCGATGGCAGCGTGAGTCTGACTCATACTTTTTCTTTTCTCTTTATTTTTTCTTTTTTTTTTCATCTTCCTTCATCTTCCTTGTCATTTTGCTGTCACCATCCATGTATCACATTGATAGATGCAACTTATTCATTCCCTGACATGCTTATAAGATATTTGACGTTGCTGTGTTCTCTCCACAGACGTTCACCAATCAGCTGCAGGTCCTCCAGCAGAGAACATGGCTTATCCACTGGTCTCTCTTCGTGTTCTTCAACCATCCCAAGGGCAGGGACATGATCATTGATCTATTCCTGTACCAGCCATCGTGAGTACCATTTTCAAATATTATCATACCATGTCAGAATTTTCACCCCTCTTGCTGATCAAAGTCGGCTGTTGGTTCTTTGTTCAAATTCCTTGGTAAAATTAAAGCGTGTGCACTGATTAAATTTGCCCATAGGTACCTGAATGCTATCCAGACCATGTGTCCCCACATCCTCCGTTACCTGACAACTGCAGTCATCTGCAACAAGCGCAGACGAACTGTTCTCAAGGACCTGGTCAAGGTCATACAGCAGGTAGGTACACACCTGGAGCTGTCTGAAACCTCGGAACCTTAACTTACTGTTTTGACATCTTAGATACAGTTGTAAATGATCAGGTATTGTGCATGAATAAGTCAAAGTTTACATGTACATGTACGTGTGGGCTAGTTTTATGGATGACATGTTAACTCAAAGTGAATTTTCTTTTTTTTTTAATAAAAGTGTTCCTTTTCCCCATACAGAACAACTCAAGTCTGTCAAGCCTTTCTTCAAAGAACCTTTGAATCAGAAGGATATTACAGATCATTTAGTATTGCATTTATGTGTCAAGGGTCAAAAGGATAAATATTCAAAGTATTATTTTTAATCTTATTTTCAGGAATCCTACACGTACCAAGACCCCATCACAGAGTTTCTGGAGTGCCTGTATGTCAACTTTGACTTTGACGGAGCCCAGAAGAAGCTGAGGGAATGTGAAACAGTAAGGACAATTTCTCTCTCCCTCCTTTTCACCACCAAAGTCAAGCAGCATTACAGAAATGATTCTTGCAGTTACTGCAAGGATGTTAGTTATTGAACAAACTATAACACTGGTCTCAAGTTAAGATTGGTTGGGGTGTGAAAATAATAGCACACATCTTTGAAATTTATGGAGGTACCCAGTATAACTGATTCTAACAACATTTCTGATCCACCTACAGGTTCTAGTGAATGATTTCTTCCTGGTAGCCTGTCTGGAGGAATTTATAGAGAACGCACGACTTTTCATCTTCGAGACTTTCTGCCGTATACATCAGTGCATCAGTATCAGGTATTGTCAAAATTGTTGTTGCTGTTTGATTTTTTTTTTTCAAATCTTAGATTTTAGATGACAGTGTGCAAGACTAAGATGAGTCTTGTCCTTTGGACCTGTAGTTAGTCCTTTTTATACCAGGTGTCTCTTCTGAGCCATTCCCCTTCCTGTACTGCAGTATGCTTGCTGAGAAGCTGAACATGACACCGGACGAAGCTGAGCGCTGGATTGTCAACCTGATCCGTAACGCACGTCTGGATGCTAAAATAGACTCCAAACTGGTAACGTATTTACTTTTAATGAAGAAATTATAGTTGGTTAGGTTCTTAGTTGATGAAATAGGGATTTTCTTCATTTTTATTTTGTTTGTAGATGTGCAGAGACTCACAGTTGCAACAAATGCTTCTCTTGATTTCAAAATATTCTAAGCCTAAGGCTTGAGTCTTGAGAGGTGGCTCTGATTGACTACCTGTAACTTTGTGATTTGTCAGTAGATAAACTGCCAGCTTTCCTTGTTTTCCCCACAGGGCCATGTAGTGATGGGCACACAGGCCGTCTCCCCATACCAGCAGGTGATTGAGAAGACCAAGGGCCTGGCCTTCCGCAGTCAGATGTTACTACACAACCTGGATAAGAGGAAGGGCAAGGAGGACCAAGACAGCGTCAGTCCTTTCTTCTGAACTACTTGTTCTGTAGCACGGCAGTCGTACGGCTGGTGTGGGCTTGTGTGCTCGATGTATCCTGTGATTCCGAGTGTTGGCAAGACATGCTGAACAAGAAAAGAAAAATTGGGTCACTGAAATTCTTAAAAGTGTATTCCAGTTTTATGCTGATTCCCCATATGTCTTAAAGATGACAATACAAAATGTTGAAACAAAAGTCTTTCTGAAATTCTTTAACCCTCACTGCGACACAGTCTACAGTCATTTACCAAACTTTTAGTCATCTCAGCACAAGGTAGCAGTGAGATGGTTAATGTTCAGGTTGTCAGCATTGTCTTTCTAGCACATATAGTCTGTTAATTGTATAATCTTCTATTCTGTTAACATGAAATTTCAAAGTGAATCATTTTCTGTCACCTTAATATGATGGTCTCTCTAGACAAGAATCAATTACTTCAAATCTGCCTCTTTGTATTTTTGTGTGCATGTTATTGAACGTACAATCATACATCACTGTCTCGAGCACTGACAAACAAATCCACAGTTTTCTGTGTGCATAACTGTACAATGTATGCGTGTGTGCATGTGTGCGTGTGTGCAATTTGTATTGCAGTACCTTATACACGTATGTATGAATGTGGAAAGAGTGTATGAATTTCTTTTCTGTGGGTTTAACCTCTAAAGTCTAGCCTCAAGAAACTGACAACTACCTGTTTTCGAATGAAAGTAGACTGTGATTTCCAAATCCAAAGGTTTCCCTGTTAGTGTACTTAAAGATTTGAAAAGTATGTGTTTGCTCTTTCCATGCACGTTATACATTCTGCTTGGAAGTTGAGACAGACTAACAGATGCTGTCATCAGACTTACCCCAGTGATAGCCTGTATGATGATATAGTGTGTGGGTCCTGTGGAACCATGAAAGGAAATTAATAGGGTCCAAAGTCCAAAAACTGTGTGTCTTCAACTGAAGATGTGTGAGTCACCTGCTAGGCTTGCCCCCAGGGATAACGGACATGGACAATGATTGGTGATGACAAGTGCAGAGAGGCTTTCTGGCAGGCCTGCCCATACCTGGCACACATGGAAGCTTTTCTGGGCAGAGATGTTATTTGATAAGGAGTGAAATTAGTCAAAAGGGTATGAATGGGTCCTGGGAGAAGGTAGGAAGACTTTACATGTATAACCAGGTTTGATAATATTATACATGTACTACAGATTTCAGTGAGCCTTTTCAGACAGTATCACTGTATGGGTATACATGTTGGCATGCCTGGCAGCAGCATTTCATCATTATATATAATTCTTTGTTCATTGAAATAAGAAAGCACTCAAGACTCCAGGACATGCCAGCCTGCAACACTGGGACACTAGAGTGAGGGTAGTGTACAATCATGAACATGTACTGTGTAAGAAAATCTGTTACTGTGCCTGACTGGTGGGTGGGAAGATAAAAAGAGACGGCTGTGTTGAAGTGACTGGTGCAGGAATGTGGCACCTGTTGGATCAAACTCAACCTAGTAGAACACACGGGCTAAAAATACATCCAGCAGCCTTGGATCCATTACCTAACCAACATTTTACAAGAAAGTGTGTGCCTGAAGGTTGGGAAGATCAAAGAGACAACTGAAGAAGTGTGATGTGTGGACTTGTGCAGGAATTCAGCACCTGTTGGATCAAACACAGTCCAGTAGAACTCAGACTAAATATACATCTCCTACAGAGAGCAATTGAGATAAGGGTCTATATTTGACTGGTTCAGACGATAAAATATGCCAATTTTATGCTGGGCATCATCTGTTGCAAGACATCATTACACATATACTAGGCTATAGCTTAATCCAGTCAATTCTTATACAATGTACTTGAATGGAGTTGAGTGTAAAACATTTACATAAGGTTTCATGCTAACTTAAAAATGTTTTGTAGGTGATTACTGTCAAGTAACTTCTTAAGTGCTAAGAACTTTTGTGAAATGTGTAATGTGGGTTAGGTGATGGCTCCAAGGTTGTCAGTAGTTCAGTCAAACTACTGTGGTTATATGATAACCACAAACATGAAACTGGGACATTTGTCCATGGTCTGTTCTATCTAAGAATAGAACCTTATCTGAACTGGCACCAGGTCATGACATGTTTGTAGTCGGTGGTACTCTGAGTTGTGTTTGATCCAACAGGTGGTACATTCCTCCACAGCTCCTCCTGTCACTTTTACTCAGCTGTCACCTTTATCTTCTTCAAGAGGAACAGAAATAGGTCTTCATGATGTATTTCCTGAGGCAAGATGTTCCAAAGTGTTCTGTCATGACCCAGACTGTGTACAATGATTCTCAGGAGGATATGAAGTGGTCCTTCATTGATGGTCGGTGGATGAAAGATGCCAGAATTTGGAGAGCTGTGATGACCCATATATAATATCCATGTTCCCCTTTTATCATGACACTGGTATTGTTTTTCAAACTTAAGACCACAGAAAATGTGACAGTAAATACAGTTGCAACATTACTATCTATTATCATATAATATCTCTAGAAACCCCCTGGGTTTAAAAGAACAAGAAAACATCCTGAAAGAGCCTGTTAGGTCCTGATGGGTCCATTTCTCCTGGAACATAATTTTTATCTGTAAGCTGAAAACCTCAGTACAAGACAGTGGAACTCCTGATGTGTGATGTGAATCTGTCACTGGTAGTCTCTGACTCTGTCCATGAGACAAGACAGGGAGGGGAGGAATGTGTTTGATGTACCATACTGGTGGTCAGTAGGAGATACTCATGATAGTTAACATGTCTGCTGGACAACCCAGAACTGACATAGTCAACAGGCTGGACAACATCCTCACTCGTCACACTGAACAGCACTCGATGAGAGCAAACCAGCCAGGAGCATAATGCCAAGTATGCCCCTCCCCTGCTGCTCATCCTTACAAGAGGACTGACATTGATGACCTTGTTAATCTTCAACAACCAAATAATTGTATTGCTGCTGCCTCTGTTGGCCTACAGACCTGTAGGTGGTATGTCATTGACCTGCTATGCCATAGTCACACTGGGTTTATCATCATCATCTGCGTCTGGAACCTTCTGAGTTTGTAGTTCAAGGGCACCGTTTAAACTTTCTTTTGATTATCCCATAAAATATCTTTTAATGGAGTAAAGTAACTGATACCAGCCAAGTATAGCTCCAGTCTGATGGAAAACAGACATCAGAAAGGATAAAACAAAAATCCTAATCATCAAAAACATGTTTTGGACACATGATGAGACATAGGACACTGTCAGTGTCATAAACAATGCAGCATAACAACCAGCAGAGCATGAGGCACACTCGCTTCCCTCATTTCACACCTGTCTGACATCACAACCCCACATGGCCTCTAGGAATGGCCACATTTGTAACAAATTATACCAAACACTCATGTGGGAATGGATGGATACATTATCAAACTTCCCATTACCTTGCCCTGGGCTAGAATCCTGCTTCTAACTTGCCACTTCTGACTTTCATTAGGTCCAATTCTCCCATATTAACCAGCCTTTTAGTTTTGTCACGTAATGATGAGGCAAAGTTTGCTGCTCTCCTAGGTGTCCTTTTGCAGGACAGTTTGAGCCAAAAGTAGCAGTTTTATCATTGCCAAGGTCACTCATTATCATTAGAGGTTGATAACCTTTTGATGACCTGGATAATGGAATATAAACCAAAACTATGTAGAAAACCAAGGGGCTATGTCCAGAAAATGCAGGAATAGGATTTTGACACAGATGAGATCAAACTATATTTTTTTTTCCAATATTTTTTGCCAACAGTGAGGAAGGCCACTAAATGTGTTCTGTTACATTACCATCTTTGTTAAATCATGTCTATATGTTAAGTAAGTTGTACCGCTTCTCCAATCTCTTTCCCTCTTCCTTTTACCTTTCTGTTCTTCCTGCTCCTTTCTTGCACTGCTGTGACAACATGTATATGCTCTTTACAATTATTGTAGGTGTGTGATTAAGTTGTCAACAATATTCAGGACAAGATCACCCCTCACCAGTAATCAATAGCCTGATATCAGACTTAGTAGTAAACTGTTATATATACATATAATAGCTGCTGGGACTCTTTGGTCATCACTGCAAATAGACTCGACATTTTCATAAGTTCGGATACCAAATATTGAGGTGTGGGGCTTAGCAATACATCAATTAGTAAGTGAACATGACTAGTGTTGTCACCAATTACTTGTGAGTCACCACATGTACATGTTAGGTCCAACTTTTGGTCTATAGTTTGGCAGGGGCATGACAGAGAGCCTTGTACAATTTTCGTCCATTTGTGACCATAAGTGATAGGGCCTGCCTGCGGGTATGTCTGCCTTCTACTCTGAAGTTTGCTAATGGATGAAATCACCCAGGAGGGACAACTTGTACCTGGACCAAGACAGTAACCAACTCCGTATGGTGAAGCCAAAAACAAAATCTTAACTCTCCTATATAAAGGAACATGCAGGGAATCTTTTGTAAATGTTTCTCACATACCTCAAGTAACGTTAAGACATTGGTGACCTTGCCTCAGCAGAGCATTTAGTATAACATTCATTCAGTTTTAGAGTTATTGGATGAAAGAACATTGGATGCATGCAAATATTTATTTAATGGCAAAAATGATAACATAGATCTGTTCAGTCAGCCTTAGCACTAGCCCATGTTCCTTCAAGTTGAGCTCCCACAATGCACCTGACATTTGACCTACATGTACATGTATACACACCCGTGACCTTCAACACAACAAACTTTACCAGTCACATGCAGATAACAGTGACCTACTGTACCTGTGATAGATTCTCCACTGATAAATCCTACCTTGAAGTGCTACTTTTCTTTCTCAACCCTCTGGTTCAAGAAGCAGAGTGGCAGATCTTCAGTCAGCCTCAGGTGGTGAGATATATTGCTTCACTGCAGCCATCTGAGAGATACAGGAGGTGAAACAGTTGCCTCTAAGTCTGGTAATTTGACATAATTGCAGCATGAATGCCAAGGTGATTGTATCCTGAGGGTTCTGTCACTCTTACTTCAGGAGAAACTTTCCGGCTATGTTTTTCCTTCTTGAAACTTTTTAGTGATATATGTACTTACAAATGTGCTTGTAGTGATAATATATTACATGACATGTTATGTTATTCCTGTTACATGATATATTAAGTCCTGAAAACTATATTTTATTAAAGTTTTCAGTGCCAAAAAGAACATCATAATAAGTCCTGTACATTTATTTTCCTTCCCTGTTTTATGAATATGATAAATCAAGAAAAATTACATATCTTTTCTCTAAACTCTAGCTGCTGTATTAATTCCGTTTAAATTTTGTACAGTGATTTGAAACAAAATTATACCCAGCAGAGACGTAATGTTATATCCATGAACAAAATGACTTCATTTCTCATGAGTGATAGTGCTACCACAGTACTGCATGTTAAAAAGTTTCCTCACTGAAAAAAATTATACCTTACATCCACATCATTTCCAAGAACCCTTCCCTGAAATGACCTGACCATATGTATGTGAGCCAGTGCCTGTGAGACTGGCCCCCATTCCTGTTGAACTCTGCCTTCAACTGTCATAGAAGTGATGCAGACAGATTACGGAGAGCCCTCCCCGCATACCAGCCCCGCAGGCACCCTGCGCGATGGACCACTCGTGCAATTCGTCTTGACACGTATTATTGACAACGGTCTAGCCAATTAGGAGGTAAGGTTTCTATGCCTAAGGAGCTATGATGCATAAAATGTCTGGAGTATGCCCAGGTGAACAACGCAAGCCTCGTATGTGAAAGAAAAGTTGCAGAGGAATGTTATTTTCTTTGATTACTATGCGCCACCTGCCAGGTGTTCACATACAAGATACATGCGACCCTGAATCTGTCATCCTAGAATAAACCAATAATCTTTCCTATGAGGAAAGTCGAGCTGCCAAGATAATCCTTGTCCTTGGTCACCGTTAGCGTTACAGGGAGTTCAGTTCTGGAGAAGTCAGCCAAGATGGCTGGGTGTTCTGGTCAGGTTTCTTAAAGGAATTTTCCCATGCTGAGCTGAGGAGAGCCTTTAAGTCCCACACTGCAGGAGGATAACGTATCTGTGCTACATGGAACTGTGAGGGGCTGTGGTAGGGGTTGTGGGGGAAGAAGATATGGATTTTCCGAAGTGTTTCTGATATTGCTTAAATCTGTGGTAGAAAAGACAGTCTTTTACAGTGAGAGGCACTAGGTGTTCAGCTTCTATGTGCTTGAGTTTGCCTCTACAGGAACTTTCTATTGTTCATGCTGGGGTCTACTAAAGCAGAAGGCCAAATCAATATATATTATTACCAGAAATGTATAACTTGGTAGTGTAGTAGACCCTAAAAGTGCATGTTTTGTGCAGTGTTTGTTGTAGCATGTAAGTTACAGTTCAGAGACATGAAAAAGTGTATACGGTCTACATGTACTCATACACACCCTTGTCAGTTGCGTGCATATCAAGCCTTGGAACTCCCAAAAGCTCCAGGCTAGGATTTGAATCCACAGCCTTGTGGTCCCAATTCCCAGCCATATGACATATGACATTACTTTGATACAAATCCATGACCAGAAATAAGTGTGGAAAGGAACTGGGTGGCCCATATACATGTATTACCAGCACTTAAACTGCATTTTTAGCGTTTCCATGTGGCCTAACCCCACAGCAAACAGAGAATAAGTAGCAAAATTACTACTTATGTAATTAGTAACTGTATCATTCAGTTACTTTTATTAGAGGTGTTGTAAGATCATAGATGGGGAGGGCAAACCCTATACTATGCAATAAATAGTGAAGGTGATGCAGATGTAATATAGCAGTATCACTGAAGAAGAATTGTCTGAAATTTGGACCAATGCAATAGTATTCATAGGAGGAAGCAGTGTAGGGCACAGTTCCCTTCTGCTAGATATGACAAAACAAAAGGATAGTGCAGATGTACAATCATGAAGTCCATTCCTTGGGATTCACAGCATTCACCTGTTTTGAAGTAGGCTTGTTGGATCAGTCCACCCCAGGAGGGGGAGTTACACCTAAACAGAACAATCACACTTGCTGTATAACCCAACCATCATCTAATAATAAACTTTTCATGCACATTCTACATCTACTACATTGTAGGAGTTGTTTCTCCTATGTGTACCTCCCCCTTCTGCACACTGGAATGGGCTGACCCAACCTACAGCACCCCTGCTGGTTGGGCTGGTTAGCGGGTTAGGGGCAAACCATTTGTGGAAATAACAGGGGTTTTGCTTGACATCATAGAAAATGCACTTTCTTTAGTAAGATTTCAAATCAGCACCACATATTCCATTTGGACAGTGCAATGATTGGCAAGAACATAAGCATCAAACCAGAAGTGAAATGGACAAAAGAAATATAAACCTTAAATTTATTTCATATGTACATGTATTACTAGATGACTTCCTGAATTGTGCTGAACAGTGTTTTAGATTACATAGACTTGTAATGGATACTTCCCTACCAAACCTATATGCAAGCTACATGTATCTGTGCATTAGGCACCTGTGCTATCTACAGGGCCTCAGTGTAGCCCTGACAAACGTCTGCACATTTGAATTTGTATGACAGTCTGTGTTTGATATCATTGGGATGTTGCCACTGTGGTTGATCCATGGCTTGTCCCAGAGTACAGGACCAGTATGGGGTGTAGTGTGAGCCAGACATTCTAACTGTGAGCTGTCCAGATGCTGGGGTTGGGGACTAGTCAACAGTTGGATGTGTCGCAGGCCCAGGGATAGCATACTTGGAGAGACCAGGACATACTTACCAAAACTGCACCCTTGCCAGGAGCAAGGGCAGTAGCAGTCTTGCTTTCTAGTCTGAGAAATAACAGCAGACATCGATCGAAGAGGATTTTCAAAGCAAATGTTTGGCAGGTTGTGCGCTTTGGATTTACTTCTTTCTGAGGAGAATTGCTTCACAGCTTAACAAGATCCGACATGTTGTGGCACAAGAGGGAAGCGGAGTCCTAGGAAATGCCCAGTTTTGGGCTGAAGCTGAGACCTTGGGCTGGGAATGTACGTGTGGCTGCAGTGATTGTGTGTTTGGTCCTGCGATCTGTATGCATGGGGACGACTTCTAATGTCCTGACGTTTGACTCTGAGCCGTCCGCAGCAGTGAAAGGTAGGTGTGCTCGGTTCTGTTCTTTACTGACTACTTTGTTTATTTGTTTGTTTTTCTGCAGGTGCCTCACTGGGGAGCCCAGGATGTTGGTTTTTAGAACGAAATCACAGATCAGGATGTCACAGGAGTCAGAACTTGTGTTTGGAGTTTTTCTTTGGGTTAAAATATCTTTGCAAAATGCCTCACAGTAAAATCTCACCTTAACCCATCATATGATGAAAATATGAAATAAATCAGTGTCAATAAATTCATTGGAATATGCATTCCTTACTCTCCTTCTCCTTCAGTGTGAATGTGGTGCCTGTAGCAGGTCCAATGAAACTTAAATTTTCTATGAAGTTTTGTAATTTGTCAAAGATCCTGTTTTTTCATGCACTATAGGTAGATTGGACTGTCAAAAGCACTATTACTAGGAAATATTAAATAATATGTAGTTTGTACTTATCATTTACTGCATAATTTTAAGGTCTTCACACACACCATATATGATATCCTACACCACAAAACTTTTATGGAGGTCAATAAACTCTTAGTAACAGTGGGTGATGTTAGAAGGGACAAGGTACATGTGTATGCCCCATTAGTCTCACTACTACAATCTGTGGTTATTATGATATTAGGATCTGATATGATCTTTCCATAATTGTCAAGCTGATAAAGAATACCCTGTGTAATTCTACTGAACAGGACATGGAGCCATGGGAAGGAGCTAGGAAGGGGGGCTGTGTAGTAGTACTGTGGTCATACAAGTAGATGGTACATGTAGTTCTCAATCACTCACACTCAAACGAGCTCACTCCTAGATCCTCAACTACTCCTTAATGTCATTATTAGTTCGGGTTTTATTGTTTGCACTTTAAAACCTACTGTATTCCAGAAGATAAGGCCCACACTTGTTTTTAAATTTTCCCTTTTCTTTGTATTTCTCTACCTTAATAGTCGGACCCTAAATTATGACCTGATCGAGTCATTATTATCTTATCTTCATTCCACAGATAACACAGTCTACTTACGTTTTTCACACAAGACAGAGCCAGGAGCACTTTAAGCTAATAGTTTTCATACGAATAAATCGCTGTAATCATGTGTAGGTGTGAATAGAATGAAGAGCTCAGTAGTAACACCATATGGAAGCAGGGCGGCCTTGTTAGGACACAACAGTTCTGCATTAAATCTTTGCCTGATGAGAGAGACTTTTGCAGCAGTACGTTGAGAGTTAGCAATACCTCAGATGAACTTTCAACGCACGGAAATTCCCCCTACAATATGACACTGCAGCTGCAGATTGCTCTTCTTTTTTCCCGTCATGACCGAAGAAGGTGTCATCTATTTGTTGAATGTTGAATTGAGTTTTAACTCTAAATCTTTACCTTGATCATCGCGAATGGTCGTTTTGTGAACAGGTAAGATACAAAATAGTGCCGAATGTTCGACCCAAAAATTCATCTTGCATCTTTTGGTTGTGCGTTCCAAGTTGGGGCTTTTTTTTTACCCCAACGAAAACTTTTAGTGTATACATACACAATATGAATACGATATCTACAAAATGTCAGCAGATGACATTTAGCTAAATCCTATGTAAGGTCTGTATAAAAATGACATCTGCAGACACTTAGGTTACAAAACCCAGACTGTGACAATAATTGGTGAAATTGGCCCATTCATGATGCGCACATATATGTACCCTCTGTTCTATTTGAGGCTCTATCCTGACCTGTTGCAAATGTGTATGTATGTAGCTTGCGCTCTTCACATTACAGATAGCCATTTGTTGCATGCATGGACGTGTTTTATTCATTATAGGCACTGCCTACTGCGTACCAAAAGTACGTTTTCGTTTCAAAATCAGTATGAAATAGAACAACCGCGCCAATTTTTCACCGGACTGTTGCGCTTGATATTTTCAGTATGTCCATAGCTAGACTAGCAGTTCTCAGTATAACGGGTATCGTATCCCAACAGGGACAACAAGAGTTCCGAGATCTCATACCTCCATGAAATATGGGCTTGATATGTAAATGTAAATTTCTTCTTTAATTACGCAAATGACCTCTGCATTAACATAATATATGCATCGTGATGTTAACTTTTGATTAACTTAAAGATGTCCCAAGTATGACATTCCCATCATTCACCATTGAGAAATCATAGATTTTTTGCATTAATTATGCAAATTAGGTCATCATTTGCATAATTAGTATCTGTTGATGTTCCATCTGCCATAGGTTACATACATTACATGTATGAAAGTTCTATAATGTAAAACACTGTAATTATAGAATTTCCTCATTAATTATGCAAATAAAGTCCTCATTTGCATAATTTACAGTTAATTATGTACATCTCTCTGTCAGATACCTACACACCAAAAATAGATGAAAATACAATGTTCCTATCTGGACTTATTGGCTTTCAAAGATTTCGCCCGAAAGTCCCCTGCAGTTCCTGAACAAGCTGCTAGGGGGACCATACCCACACCACTTATTCCTGACAGGAAAAGCTATCTGTCACCAAAAATTCAAGACCATAGCATGTTCAGGGCCAAAGATACAAAAAACCGGAAGTTCTGCTGCAGTACCAAGGTCATCCACCAGGAGACCCATATTTGACCTTGACCTTTGTCTTCCTAAGACTTATCAGCATACCAAATATCATCACAATCCATAAAGGCGTTATGAAGTTATGCTGACTACAAAGTTGCGGAAACACACACAGACACACACACAGACACACAGACAGACGCCGCCAAAAACAATACCTCCATTTTTCATGGAGGTAAAAATCTGCCGTAGTTTCATGTAAAAGAACGGATACGAAAATGACATGGCCATGATGGAGTATAATGAACCCAAGTGGCTTTGAGAGTTTATTGTAAACCAGTTGTAGTGTAGCACTTTGCTGCCAGTCTTAGTACGAGTAGACAATGATGAGTTCGAGTTGCTGCCCAATGCGTACCTTGAGCGCAGCGGGGGTAAACTGACGACGGGGCACAGCAGGGATGACAGAGATAACGGTAGATAAAGTCCAAGTCCAGACAACCCGCGCTAATTCTCGACGATCTCCTTACGGCAGGACTAACGGGGTTAGCGGAATCTCAGGAAGTTTTTGATGTCCAAAAGGAAGATTGCCGGTAACCAGGACAAGATGTCCCGAAGGAAGGCAATTTGTTGTCCTAACGAAATCAGCTGGTGTTTCACAGAAAGGAGGATATGAAAATATTTTCAACAGTCGAGGACGTCTAGGCTAGTTTTGCCTGGCTTTTGTCTGAAATCCCCTTCATTAGGAGTGAGAATCCCCTATCTTCTTGGTCGATGACGCACCATTGCTTTTTTTGGTGTAACTGGTAAAGAGTGGATATATATTGTGATCTTTGTAAAAAAAAATAGTGTTCTCGTAGTTACAAGGAAGACTACAAACGAGCATACAGCTGTTCACCTCCCCTGACCGTGTTTTATATAAACCTGATTTAGATCTGACCTCCATTACCCGGTCAGCAGGATCCGCGGAGGGGTAGCCGCTTCTCAAGGTCAGGGGCGTTCATGAAGGTCACGGCAGACATCTTTGATGTTCGGCGATGTTTGGTACATTTTACTATGTCTGGTGTAGGCTGGGCAGATGGGAAAGAAAACATCTGTAGATCTAAGATTATCCGGCAAACAGACTAATACAAGAAACAAGACTTCCACGATCTCATGCCTTCGCCAAATGAAGTTCACCATTCCGACTGACGAAATTATACATTTTTTTCATTAATTATGAAAGTAATTCCCACCTGTATACTGTTTTTATTCGTTTCTCTTCACTAGTTCATCGGTACGGTGCTCTCAATGTAGAATATCAAATACATCTGTTCACTTGATGTTCTCATGTAACCTGTCCATCTACCTCAATGGCACTGATGTGCTCGTACAATCTGTACCTACGCTTTTGGTCGGTAGGTGGAGCAGTTGTCCCTTGAGAGCTTTTGTTAACTGACGCAGAACTATCTACTTATGCCTGGGCCATAATGCTTTGATAACTGTACATATCTCACCTCTTTCAAGAGCTGAAAAGCTTGTATCGATAAGAGTAACGGTACGTCTAGGTGTGCGCTGTCGTCACACAGAAGGAAATAGCTTGCCCTGTCTGCGAGCTCTACGAAAGGGCATCCTGTCGGTGTCTTCTCGATCAATTCGCGGTTTAAATCAGCCGATGCTGGCAGATCACTAAGGCCATCCAATGTAATAGAGTAAGATTATTCAGGCAAATACGCTCGATTCTCTGGTAATTTCGAAGTTCAGTGACCTTCTAGCTATTAACAAATCGATCGCGACCGAACGCCGTTGACCCGGAAAGCGAGACTCTCTGTCCTCTCGATCCGTGTCATCCACCGATCCCATCGATCATCACCTGCGGGCACTCCTGCAGTTTATTTTCCTAGCCGCCCGGGGGCGTCTCAGTCTGATGCCAACAGGTTTCCCGCCCTGCCGACAGAAAAGTTGATCCCAAAGCTAAATCAGGCCATTCAGTGCAAGTGCGTCTGCTTTGGGACCATTTGCCTGATTTTGAATCTCAGTGACTCAAATATGCCCTGCATTTCTTCTGAAGGGGCAGAAAGGGGACAAGGTCAGTTTTATTGGTCTGAAAATTATATATATTTGTTCAAAAGGTTTATCAACTTGCTTGAGGAATCAGATAGCTATAGATCTAGAGTTACACAGTAATGATGATGTTGATTGAAATGAAGGCGGGGGTACAACAAACTCTCTATCTGGTCCCTGCTGGATGTTAACCGCAGTAGCCTGCATACATGTGTAGTAGGATTTGCGAGATTTCCGCACAGCGAGGTGAAGTTTGTGTTCCGTTGAACGTCCAGGCGCTAAGCTCCCCTGTCATCAGGTGGTTGATTTGCGGGGCCCGGAGATCACCGTGGTCTGGTGCTCACAGGTCCACCGCCCCGCCGGTTTCCGCACAGGAAATATCCCCGCATTCTTCTGCGATCTGGCGACGATTTGAGAAGACAAACGTTGCACGTCAAAGTAACAGCCAGTTTTGCTATGTAAAAAAAATACTAAGAGTTTTCTTTGACACATACAAAGTGGTTGTTGCACGTATAACTCTTTCCCGAGTAGTAGAGATATTCGGTTAATCGCTGTATGAAAAATTGAAAAATATAGCAGGTGCATTTCTCATGAGTCATGTACAGTCTTAGTGATGCTCAACATTTACAGACAATGAAGTCTAAAACAACACTACTAGAGGCTTTTGAGACCTCTAAACA